AGTCTACCTAATGTTATCATACATATGATGGACCTATAGTTGAGATGAAAGGGATTATCCTAATTGTTATCATGCCAAGGATTGAAAGTCTAGTGTCTATCCTACTTACACCTTAAACAGAGGGACTAGGAACCCTAAGGGATTATGTGAGCAAGCACAGGTAAGCAATATCCAGTTCAATCACAGATGAAAACAAAACTAAAAGAAGTCTCAAAGAGAGAGAAGAAGAAAGATGAAGACCGAACACAAAAGGGTCAACCCAAACAAGAGGGACAGAAACACCTCAAATCAACATCGTAGGTGCATCCCAAAACCATAACAAAACCAAAATGCAGACAAACACCAAAGGCAAAGCCAACCACCTAATACTCAATCAGATGAACCAAACAAGAAGCAAAGCAAAAAGCAAATCATCATGCAATCAAATGAACCAAGAGACAAGAGGGGGAAACCATAAAACAAAGCCAAATGGTATACATCCAATCATGGGTGCACAAGAGGGATCACTTAAGTTTGACAGTCAAAGTCAAACTTCAAAGTGGATCAACCATCAACCACAAACACAACTAAGGGAACACCAAGGCAAATATCAAAAATCCAAAGGGAATGAGGATAAGTCAAGAGAAAATCACCTCATCAAGGATCAAGATCATTTATTTACCAAAATAAACAAATAAAAACCAAAATAAAATCAAATAAAAAGAAGAAAAAAACCTAAAAAAGGAAAAGAGGAGATCAAGGCATGAGGGAAGACTCAAAGGCATCACCATAGGTCTAGGACCATCATAGGATCATGCGAAAATTTCCTCATCATTTTCTAATGCTCAAAAAGAATTTTAAATTAATAAAAAACAAGCAAATAAATCAAAAACACATGAAAATACCAAAAATAGAAAACAAAAGTCCAAGAAAATCACCATAGGTTCAAAACCGTCATAGGATCGTATGAAAATAAATTCATAATTTTAAATGGCTCACAAGTATTTTTAAACCAATTAAAATTATACAAAACAAATAAAAATCATGAAAAATAAAAAAATTCAAAATAAAAATAGACAAAAATATAAATCAGAAAGAGAAAAATAAAAGAGAATTTTAGAAAATATTTTGGTATTTTTCTGATAAAAAATGGATTTATTATGAATTTCTGAAAATAAAATGAATTTAAAAACAATTTAGAAAAAGAAAATAAAATAGAAAAAACAAGATGTATTGGATCTCATCTCATTAAATGATGTGGCTGATCCAAGGATCAGAAAGCGTGCATCCACAATGGACACTAGTCAGCTCACCCACACAGATTCAAACAAAGTCAAAAACACCAAATTAGAACAAGTAGCATGATGGACGATGAGATCATCATCCTCAACCTCCAACCACCTGAAACTACCATGGATTTGCAGAAAAACGTGGATCCTTCAAACCATAACCAATGGAGCTCATAGTGGTTTCATTTGATGCATCTTTTCAAGACGATCTCAGCCATATCATCGCGCCGAATTTCTTTAAACTACAACTCACTCGATTTGAATAAAAGCAGAACAAGATTCAAACACGAATTTGAAAACTCAGCAACAAAATTCAACTACAACTAAAAACTAACTATACAAACAGCATCAACATATCAAGGATTACATCTTAGCAACAAAATTGAAGCGAAATGGTTGAGAATTATACCTGTTGAAGCTCAACCGTGAAGCTCTGAAAATGGAGTTCCCTAGCTTGATTCAGGACACCATTCTACAAGCTCTTGATCTGGTTAGCTTCACTGAATGTTGGTGAAGCTAATTGAGTGGAGAATTTGAGTGTTTAAGGTGTGGAAATGGAAATTCGAAGTTCAAGCTCAAGAGTTCAAATGGGATCTTGACAGAGTGGTTTTGGATATCAAAAGCTTGTGGATATTGGTGGAAATGACTCCCTATTTATAGAGGAAGCTATCTGAATAAAAATGGAGGGTGAATGAGGTAATTTGGATGGAAATCGTGCACACCTGCAGCATGCTCAAAGTGTGACTTGAGATCTGTCAAAACTCACTCAAAACTTGCGTTTCAAGGCTCTAATCAACCCAAGCAAGATGCTTAATCATGTTTAGATTGAATTTGTGGCTTAATTTGGTGATTAGAGGCCAATTCAAACAATTCCAATTCTGACTTGGAGAGAAATCTCAGCTTTGAAATTCAAATTTTGCAACTATGGTGCTCACAGCGTAGGAGGCTTTTTGGGGTGATTCTTCTTGCATTGGATAGAAGGAGATACAATCTTTGCAATGTGAAAAGAAAGTATTGATTTGGAAGCTTGAGTTGAGAGATATGGTCCTTCAAAGTAGCCTCCATGAGAGAAGTGAAAATCATAAAACACTTAGAAAAATTTCAAGTCTTTTAGGGACCAAAAAGAGACGTATAATATTTTGATGAAAACCAAGACCTTCCATGGGTTTTTAGCTCTTCCATGTTTAATCAAAGTTGTAGAGGACATCTTCAAGTTTATTATAGAAAGAGAATGGGCTCCAAATGATAAAACTTGACCAAGTTATGCTCTTTTGAAGTTGACCCAGAAATCCTTCTAAAAATTCAAAATGACCTATAATGTCTTGAAACTTTTGATGACTTTTCAAGCATAATTTGATCTTTTCTTGCAAAGATAACTTATTAGGGATGATGAGAAGAGTTCATTAGAAAAAGAACCACCTCAAGATGTTGAAAATTGAAGGAGTTATGTTCATTTGATCATAGCATCCACAAATTGTCATACTAAGTCAAACACCTTGCACCAAACTTGAATCTCTTGATGATTTCTTGCATAATAAGTCATGGTGAAACACACATGATGTTGGAATGATGTTGCCTTGAACCATATTTGATGATGAGGGACTTCTAGGGTTGAGAATACCACAAAGTCATTGATCAGTGCATTTTGATGCACTTTCCTCTATGTTTAGACCTAGGCATTTCTATAGTTTAGTTTGTTTAATTTCCTATTTTATGATGTTTTTACAATTCAATTTATTTTCAGCTTTATTTGATTTTTGTTTGTTATTTTCAACATTAACAGTTTTAAATAAAAAATTCATAACTGGAGCTACAAGAATCGGATCGAGTTGTTCTACCAGTCGTTGAAAAGCTAAGGAAAAGATCTGCAACTTTCATGTTGCACAAAGAAGCTGATTCGAATTTCTTGAGTCTCGAATAATTCGTTGAAGTTTCTAACTTGTGATAATGTAGTTGTTTTTTCCTTTTGGGTCTGGTTTAGGTTTCCGACCCAGTTGAGTGTGTAATGCAAACTTTTTTCTGTTTATAAGGTTACTTCCGTGCTACAATGACGGCTACCCTAATTTTTTCCAAATTTTATTTTACTTTCATATTTTCCATGGCGAACTAATCCTGAGGGAAAATCTGCCGGTTTTGAATCCCGTAATTCTTTGAGGTTTATTTCAATTTCGATTTAATTTAATCTCGTTCCAATTTGTGTTATAACTCTGTTTTCTTAATTCGTTATTATACAATAAATTGGATTTAATTCGATCGATCAATGTTCCTTAACTTAATCAATCGCAGATTAACTTAGCTTTTTCGTTAATTTGCGTCATCTCTAACCGTCTGCTTCATTCGGTAATTAGGAATATAAGTCGTGCGGTATTGTCGACGCTGGTTCGTCAATATTGCAATCGAATAGGGATTGGGACCGCTTGAGAATTGAAATTGTAATGACCGATGATAAGTTGGGAGTCGAACCGGTAGATTTCCCTGTTTTAATACTTATTTCAAAATCACTTATTTTACTACTTATTTTCATAATCGAATCATAAATCAAAACAACCCCCCCCCCCCCCCCAAATCGTTTTCGATTGTCTATTTTATAAATAAGAATCCCTCTGAATTGATATCCGAGTTACTGTAGCTTTACTACAGTTTTTTTCAAATCACTCGGTTCTGATCCGCGCGCGACAGCGTGTCAGTCATGGAAAAAACCTTGCTTGAACTTGAAGAAACACAACCTTCTTGCTTGAGAAATAAACCATGATACGCAAACATGAATATGAAGATGCAAAGAAACATAAGTCAAGAACACAAGAGAAGATGAGCAAAATTTGGAGTGCTACACATATGAGCATCGAACACAACTCCAGAACAACATAGTTAATCTCTAGGATGTTGAATCTTTCCATTTAAAAATTCTAAAATCTCGAATGATATAGAAATAGGGCACCGGTGACGCAAAACACGTAAAAACGAAGCAATCTAGACTAATGAACAAGTTAAGCCTTTATGAAAAAAAAGTCTTCTTCCAAAATAAACTTACTCATTCAACTTAGATATAAGTTTTTAGAACTAAAGTGACAAATGAAACAAATTTTATATGAAATGTAATAATGTTAGAGGGTTAGAAATAAGATAATCTTAATTAATCATTGTAAACTCATATGATATTGACAAACACCACACAATTTAGTTATGATCACAAATACCATGTCACCACCGTATCAAAAATATTTGATGAATATTTAAATGGATCATATTCCAAACATTTTCTGAATTTAATTTCAACAAATTTTAACAAATTAATATTATTTGGTTAAAATTTTATAATGAATTTAAAAGTATTTTGTTTTTTTAATAAAATTTTCATAATACTATTTTTTTCATCACTTGCCAATTAATATTATCAAAGTGTGTATACTTTCACAATTTTTCAAACAACAATATTTATAACAATTGAAGTTATAATTTTTTCCCAAATAGAATAAACTAAAAAAATACAAATATCCTTTTAGTTAGTTTTTTTTTTTTTTTTGACCGGCACAAATATCCTTTTATTGATATGCAACATACAATGTAAGGCACACTCTTCAACCAACACATATACAAACGAAAGAACAACAAAAGCCAATATGCATACGCAACATTATTATACAAACATCACACTTAATTATAAACGTGACCACTTAATTAATCCAACCCCATGGTTTCACTAAGCCATTACTTCTTTATTTGTTACTTTCTTTAATCTTTTCGAGTTGCCCTTGCCTTGGAAAGATGAGCATCAACATCTCTAGTGCATTTGCTAAGGTACTCCATCCATCCATTTGGAGGCTCAATATCTTCATTGATTTTCTCATACTCCACAGTCCATTTAGCAACAGCAGTGCCATCAGCCTTATCAATTACTTGAAGGATGAGCTTAAAGGTCTTATAGTGCTTATCAATATCTCCACCAAACAGCTTCCAAGTAATCTTTTTGTTCTGTTTATCAACTCCTTCAAAACTCTCATAGCATGTGTGTACCTCACCATCTGTTGTTAAAGAACAAACTCACATACCATAACTCCACTAATAATCAACATATAATTAAACTTAATGACTCCAAGTCAAACAAGTATATTTGGCTGACATGTTAATTGAATTAGAAATATAATTACCTATGACATAAGTCCAGTGTATAACTATATCAGAGTTGTGCCACTCATCACCTTCACGCAGCTTGGTATGATGAACTTTTTCACAATGATTTTGCATTTCGTGAAGTTGTGTTACAAAGTAATTGAAAAATTTTTCAGCGGGAGCTTTGACCCCAAGCTCAGTACTAAGTTTCCCAAAAAGCACCATTTCTCCAAAGGAAAAAGAGAAGAAGAAACAAAGGTTGATCTATGTGAGGAAAGTGTATGCAACCCCATGCCATAAATAGAAGAAATTGGATTACATTATCTTTCGTCATCAATGTAGAATACATGTTTTTGGTTTTATCAATTTGAATTAATCTAGGAAGTTCATATGGAACAAAACCCTAAGCTTACCACTGTACACGTGCTATCTCACCCATATTACAGCTGCTAGTTAGTTCTCAAACTCGTGCCATTTCATATAACGTCTTGCATCATCTATGATTTTAAATATTTTTGCATTTAATTAATAATTTCAATTTTTATGTATTAACTAATTTTAATATTAGATTGGTTCTAGAGATAAGATATTCAAAATCTTTAAACATGTGTTCACCTCAAAGGTATATATATATATATATATATATATATATATATATATATATATATATATATATATATATATATATATATATATATATATATATATATATATATATATATATATATATATATATATATATATATATATATATATATATATATATATATATATATATATATATATATATATATATATATATATATATATATATATATATATATATATATATATATATATATATATATATATATATATATATATATATATATATATATATATATATATATATATATATATATATATATATATATATATATATATATATATATATATATATATATATATATATATATATATATATATATATATATATATATATATATATATATATATATATATATATATATATATATATATATATATATATATATATATATATATATATATATATATATATATATATTCTGTTTTTCAAAGGAGAAATGTCGAACGAGATATCTTAGACAATTGGTTCAATAATTTAAACTAGAATCACCACACTTAAACATAAAATAATTAAACTAAATGATGGAGAAAAAAATCAGGAAAGTACACAATAATTGGTAAAACAGTTCTCACTTACGTCTGGAGAGTTGGCTTCCAACCGACGAAAAGAAATTAATTATTAATAGTTTAGTACAATTAGTCTTATATCAACCAACAAATAATATGTTGTTCAATGCTTCTTCCTAACACTATCTAATGACTTTCTATTTAGGACCCTCCTAAATATGAGATCTCTTCTAGATTTCTCTCAGTTAATAAACCCTAGTGATCAACTTCATTTCACAATGTTGAATGTTGATTTACAGTTCAACTAGACAAACCAACAAATACGTCAAGTTACTGAAACATGATGTGGTGTACATACAACAATAAAAATGACTCAAATAAATCCTAGCACTCTAATATCTTCAATGTATTGCTTGCTTTTCAATGTAGGTTTTAAGCCCTTTATATAGAAAAAATATCCTGAACTTTTCTCCATGGATCTTTGATTTAATTTTTTCTACAATGTTTGCATAATCTGTTGGATATGACTTGTTCCATAAATATCTTCAACAAAAAGATGTGATTTTGTTTGTTTCAAATTCAAGTTTAAATCACATTTAAATCCGACTTGATCTCCGTAGTTGTCCAACAAATCATATAATCATATTTCTAAATAAAAGCAATAAAATCTAACTAAATCTTCAACTAAAAAATTTATTTTAAAACATATCAATATGGACTGTTGAGCAAGACCCATATGTCGTACCCACATGTTGTGACTTTTATCTTTCTTATCTTCTCAAGATTCAAATTTGTGATCATTATCTTCTTAGTGCTAGATGTTCCACCAGACGCTCCTACAATTGTGATGTTGTTCCTACCATCTCCGGCTTCCTTGACCTTATTTAGAAAAGACTCCAATGTATCATCAAGATCCTTAGGAACCTCAATTTCTTTGACATGTATGCTCCCACTAGATTTCTTAGACGAATCATCTAAATTTAGATTCAAGTTGTGAGGGAGAGATTGAATGATCTGAGAGTAGGAAAAGGCAAGATGTTTATTTTTCTTTATTGTAATGACAACTCAGTTATACCACACTTTAGATTAAAGAATCCGCCTTATTTTTCATGCCAATGAGGTCTTAGGGGAGAGAAATGTTTTTTTATCTTTTGGCATAACTCCCTAGCATTGATTGCTATAGTCCCTTATAGATGTAAATACCAAGAGCACACCTTAGTTCTTCAAATTGATTTGCATTCAAAGCTTTAGAGAAAATGTCTCAGTTCAATGTCATGATTTTTTAACCCACATTATTCTTCTTCAACATTTGCTTCATCAAGAGAAATTGCTTACCACTGCTTCCTGCAGGAGTGTATTCATTTTAATTAGAAAATAAGGTTACACTAATTTGGTCTTTGTTGACCCAAAATATTATTCTGTTTACAAGAGGGAAGCATCTATCATATATACTTTTCCTATCATGTAACAACCTCGACATCTTCATGGACACGGTCATCACTCTTCTTATGCAATAGAGACTTTCACAACATGTCAGACAAGATGTCTGGCACATCTTTATCACCATCTGGACTACTAAAATTTATTTCTTGTGAATATTCACTAGAACACATTAGAATGTCATGATGATTTAATATAGGCCCAAACCGAATTGGAATATTCGTATTTCAACAAGCAGTTATCAAACTTAACAACAAGAGAAATGTTGTGAAAAGAATTATCTGATTCATAGATCTTGTAGTTAGACTTTAATACATCAGTTCCAGATTTCCCAACCATTCTATCATTATTTTCATTAATCACAACACTAGTCATATGAGAAGGAATTCTAAAAGGAAGACTTAAGTCATAACCGCTATTCTTCTATAAATTATTCTTTTGAACCACCGTAGGTTATTCAAAATCGGGAGGACCTCCATCCTGACCATCAACCTTCCCTTTAATGACACAATCCTCATGAGAAAATTCAGAATCTTGAGTACGATGTTAAGAGTGTCATACCTCAAAAAATGAGAGACGACCTTGTGATGCGCAATAGCACGCACTGTGGGATGGACTTAACAGAATTGCCACCGAAATTTATTTATTGCCAAAAGAGGAAAAGGAAAAATATCGATAAAACCCACGAAGTGAAAAGGATAAGAAGGTAGTAGAATCTCTCTCACATCCGTTGTAATCAACGCGAACCATCTTGGTTGTCTAAACGTGAATTGGCGTCGAATCTAAGGGTTAGTTGCTAAGGGAAAATAAAGGGTTTTTTATTAGGGTGCTTGCCAAGACTTCACAATCTCGTGCCTACGTATCCTCAAAAAGTCAGAGCATCGTAGTTTGGGGAACCACGGGTGTTTGTTGATTGATTTTACCTAATCAAAAAGAGTTTGAAATATTGCACGATGGAGAGAAAAGAGAGTTTGATGAGTTGATTTTGTTTTTAAGTATTTGAAAAAGAGATTGTTGTTGATTAGGATTGCATTAAAGACTATGGGTAAAGACGCATATTTCAAACTACCAAACCAAGTGTCATGTGTCCAAAATACTCAGAGTGATTCTAGGAAAGCTTCATTCTCACTCATTCTCCACCATTTAACGCTCTTTGTGCGTAATCTTAATCGTATTTATTGAGTTTTTGAATTTATTGAGAAAACTGCCACTTGACGTTGAATCAAGGGTTTTATTTTCGCAAGAGGATTATGAAAAAGGTTTAAGATTGAAATATGTTTGAGAAGATACCACTTGACGTTGGATCAAGGGTTTGAGAAAATTTTGATGTTGATCCTAGTTCCTAAGGAAATCTGGCAAGCAAAACCACAACCACAGATAAGTGAGAAAGTAAAGAAAGTACACCAAAATGGGTAGAGGGATACATAAAAAATACATGGGAAATTGATGCGAGAAATAAAGGGTCTCGTTGTAAAGTAGCCCAAAAGAAAGTCGTGTGTGTGCGCAGTGTCCTAAATTATACAGTGAAAAGAAGAGTCTAAATCTTCAAGTCTCCTTTTGCTAGGGTTAAGTACAAGGTCCAAAACTCCATGATGTTAGGGATAGTAACCATAGTCCATGATTAGGTGGTTTTTATGGTTTTGATAATTTTATCATGTTTTTGTATTTTTTTAATAAGATGAGAAAGAGGATGACATAAAGTAAGGACATGAATGATAAATGAGCAATGAAATAAATTGAGGAAAAGCAAATGAAAAAAAAGTAAATAGCATGAAAATAAAGAGCAGAAATGTAAAAGTCAAAAGTTAACAGTTAGTTGTTAATAGTTATTGATCGAATGATTGCTATATCGAATTAGGACCAATATACCGCTATATTAAGCAATTGTAAGTGGGCTTATGTAGAAGCCACACCTATCTGAGGCCGATAAATAACAATGTTTTTGTTAAAACATGCTAGATAAATGATATTTGAATCATTCTCTTATAACCATGCCACACAAAAAGAAAAGGAGAGATGGTCACTTCTTTAATCAAGAATTTTCATAATTAATCAAGAGTAACCTATCATTATCTCAAAGTGTCGAAAATGATCCAAATGATCATTCTTCAACATATTTGAAATAATGAAGATTAAACATCCTTGAAAATCAATATTCCACGATCTTTAAGATTTTCATCAACCAAAATGAAAATAAAATCGGGATGAAACAAAATATTAATGGATAATATATTAATAGGCAACAATGGATCTAAAAATCAAAATGTAATTAAAGTAATTAAAAAAGAAGAAGGCATAGTGATTTTGAAAAAACAAAGAAATAAGATGAAATAATAATAAAAACAATTAAGATATAAAGGGAGGGGTGTGGATCAACAAGGGAGTATGGAAAGAAATCATCATGGGCTTCAAGGCCCAAAATCCAACAAAAGAATTAGGGTTTAAAGAAGTAAAAATTAGCAACATTTTAAAACAACATCCGCGTTCTTACCTCTTAAAAAAACGCCCAACAAAAACAATTTCGCAGTAAATCATTTCTCACAATCAACCACGTACAAGTCTAAAGTAGGATGCGCTGAAAAGGGACGAACTTGATGATAGTTTCGTGATGAAAGTTCCGTGACGGTGGC